CAGAGAACAGACTCGATGATTCCTCTGTAGAACTGTATCAGCAGCTCCTGGGGCAGGTTGAACTTCCTGAGCTGGAGCAGGAAGTACATCCTCTGCTGTGCCTTCTTGGTGATGGTCCTGATGTTGGACGTCCACTTCAGGTCCTGGGAGATAGTGGAGCCCAGGAACTTGTAGGACTTTACTGCTGATACAGTGCTGCCAAGTATGGTGAGGGGGGTTAAGGTGGGGGGGTTCTTCCTGAAGTCCATTGTCATCTCCACTGTTTTGAGCATGTTCAGCTCCAGGTTGTTGTGACTACAAACAATGCGAATCAAGCTCCTGCTCCGGTCATACAGGGACTGGACAACCCTTAGCAAAGGGCCCTGGACCCCATACTCCCGGAGCACCCCCCACAGGGCACCACGATGGGGCACAAAACACATGTGGACTGGTTGGGCAAACTCCCATGAACCCTCCACCACCCTGAAGAGGGTATAGAGCTGGTCCAGTGTTCCGCGCCCAGGACGAAAACCGCATTGTTCCTCCTGAATCCAAGGTTCGATTATGGGCCGAATTCTCCTCTCCAGTACCCTGGCACAGACTTTCCCGGGGAGGCTGAGGAGTGTGATCCCCCTGTAGTTGGAACACACCCTCCGGTCCCCCTTCTTGAAAAGAGGGACCACCACCCCGGTCTGCCAGTCCACAGGCACTGTCCCCAACCGCCCCATGCTGTTGCAGAGGCATGCCAGCCAAGAGAGCCCCACAATGTCCAGAGACTTAAGGTACTTAGGGCGGATCTCATCCACCCCCAGCACCTTGCCACCGAGAAGCTTCTCAACTACCTCGATGACTTCAGCTTGGGTAATGGATGAGTCCAACTCCAAGCCCTCAGCCTCTGCTTCCTCATTGGAAGATGTGACGCTGGGGTTGAGGACATCCTTGAAGTATTCCTTCCACTGTTTGCCAGAATTTCTTTTTAGGCCGACCGATAGTCCCTCACCGAACTCCTCCCAGACCTGAGGTTTTGCCACCCGGGCTGCAGCCCGCTTGGCCTACCGGTACCCGTCAGCTGCCTCAGGAGTCCCACGAGCCATTGAGGCTCAAAAGGTCTCCTTCTTCAGCTTGACGGCATCCCTTACTTCCGGTGTCCACCACTGGGTTCGGGGATTGCCGCTACGACAGGCACTGGAGACCTTATAGCCACAGCTCTGAGCGGCCGCATCGGCAATGGAGGTGGAGAACATGGTCCACTCAAACTCAATGTCTCCAGTCTCCCCCATGATCTGGTCAAAGCTCTGCTGGAGGTGGGAGTTAAAGATCTCCCAGACGGGGGGTTCTATCAAACATTCCCAACAGACCCTCACAGTACGTTTGGGTCTGCCGAGTCTGTCCAGCTTCCTCCCCCTCCATCGGACCCAACTCACCACCAGGTGGTGATCAGTTGACAGCTCCGCCCCTCTTATCACCCGAGTGTCCAAGACATATGGCCGGAGGTCAGATGAAACAACCACAAAATCAATCATCGACCTCCGGCCTAGGGTGTCCTGGTGCCACGTGCACTGGTGGACACCCTTATGCTTGAACATGGTGTTCGTTATGGACAAACTGTGACTAGCACAGAAGTCCAATAACAGAACACCGCTCAGGTTCAGATCAGGGGGCTGTTCCTCCTAATCACGCCCATCCAGTTGTCACTGTCGTCGCCCACATGAGTGTTGAAGTCCCCCAGTAGAATGATTAGAATGATGGAATCCCCAGTCGGAGCACTTTCCAGCACCCCTCCCGGAGACTCCAAGAAGGCCGGGTACTCTGCACTGCCATTCAGCCCATATGCACAAATGACAGTGAGAGACCTATCCCTAACCAAAAGGCGCAGAGAAACGACCCTCTCGTTCACTGGGGTAAACTCCAACACATGGCGGCTAAGCTGGGGGGCTATAAGTAAGCCCACACCAGGCCGCCACCTCTCACCACGGGCAACTATAGAGTAGTGGAGTTCAGCCTCTCTCATGGAGTAAGATTCCAGAGCCCAAGCTGTGCGTGGAGGCAAGCCCGACTATCCCTAACTGGTACCTCTCAACCTCCCGCACAAATTTGGGCTCCTTCCCCACCAGCAAGGTGACATTCCACGTTTACAGGCCTAGTCTCCTTGTCCAGAGGTCAGGTTGTCGAGGCCCTTGCCTTCGACTGCTGCCTGATCCACTATGCACCAGCCCCTTACGGATCCTCCTGCAGGTTGTGGGCCCACGGGAGGATGTCCCCACATTTGGGCTAAGCCCGGCTGAGCCCCGTGGAAAGAGGCCCGGCCACTAGGCACTCGAATTTAAGCCCAAACCTGGCTCCAGGGTGGGGCCCTGGTTGCACCATACCAGGCGATGTCACAGTCCTTGATTTTAGTCTTTTTATAAGAGGGTCTTGAACTGGCCTTAGTCTGACTTGTCACCTAGGACCTGTTTGCCTTGGGAGACCCTACCAGGGGCATATAGTCCCCGACAACATAGCGCCTAGGATCATTTGGGTACTCAAACTTCTCCACCACGATGGCAGTTCAAGGACACACAACACGCAAAATTTTTAGTGAGCTGAATTCAGCTACATCCTGCATGGGGATTCATATCAAATGCCTGCTTGATACATTTTATTTGTTTCATGTTCTTTTTTGCAGATATTCATGATGAGAATGGGTTAAAGCCAGTCATGGTTTACATCCATGGAGGCTCCTACATGGAGGGAACTGGCAACATGATTGACGGCAGCATCCTGGCCAGCTACGGGAATGTTATTGTCATCACAATCAACTACCGACTTGGAGTTCTGGGTGAGTCCACCAATCTGGGGCTTCAATTAGTTTGGAGAAGGTTGATTGAGTCAGAAAGTGAGTTATTGGTTTAGTGATTTAATTATTAATCAGCCCATTGTTTTCACCAACAGGCTGGGCTTTGTGTGAAGGAAAGCTATGACATTTATGTTGCTGTTTGGGTGTCAATGCAATCGACATTTTCTTAAGCTTCTGTTGATTACAATTTTGAATTATTGGTGGCTTTAATTAAAATGGAATTACTCATGATCTGCGTGTTACATAAAATTTCTGAGATCTTTCTTATACAGCAAATGTACTGTATATACTGAAGCAAAGCAGGCAGGTTAATCTATTTAGAATCACATATACGCAGATGTCTGATACACCGTTTGTGCTCTAGATTGGGTATGATTTGTGGAATTTTTTGCTTCGGCTACCATATAATGCATTTTAGTGTAGCCTTGGATGTCCCACAACAACACAAAACTTAAATGACGATGCTTACATTTGTAACATTTTCAGTTACTCTAATTATTCTGAAGCATGAAACATAAGGCAGTCTCAAATTCCATTCTGGGAAAATTGATTCGTTGTGACCTGACCTGGTATCTAACACCACAGTGCTGTACATAATATGTTGTTCCTGTCTGTAAGATGAAAGTAGTTTCTGGCTTACACATGGAAACTTTATCTCACCTTTGACATCAGGGTTTTGGTTTTTAATGTCTGTTGCCCTAGAAAATGTCTGATTCTCAGAGACAACATCAAACATTTGGAGGGAATGAGTTTGAATTCCTTCTGGAGGGAGCATACAGTAGCTGTATTCCCAATCTCTGTTCACATTAAACCAGAGTTTGCTGCAGAAAATGCCTTTAAAACACATTTTAATATATTTCAAAGTTTCTAAATTGGATAGAAAACAAATCTCTGAAGCTTGTTTCTACAAAATGTTTTAAAGGAAATGAACTTTTATTCATACCATATTATTTACACCAGCTAACTAGCTTCCTTGGCTAATGTAACTTAGCTAATTCAGGAGTGTTAAATATATTAATCAATCAAAATCAGAATCAGAATCAGCTTTATTGGCCAGGTGTGTCGGACACACAAGGAATTTGACTCTGGTACATTGGCTCTCAATGTGTATGTACATATTCCCATGCAAATGGCAAGTAAACAATAAACCAGCATAAGGCTGTGTAATATAAAACAATAAGCAGTATTAACAGCAACAAAAAGTGCAAAGAATGCAAAATAAGCAGTATAAACAGACACTAAACAATGAAGACATACAAAGGAATGCTCATTGAAATGGGATAAATAGGAATAAAAACAGAGTACCTAAAACTAGAGACCTGTACGAAACAAATTAGCAATTTCTTGTAAAATACGCTAAATACTGTTATCTCTGTTGTTACGATTCACAAGAATTACACCCCAACAAAGTTTAGAAACAATATAAATGAACTACTTCATGCATTCTTTCAGGAAGCAATCCTTAATCGTGGCTTGTCGTTGGGCTAACCTTTA